GAAATGCAAAATTTACTTTCATCAGAGAACATGACTTTGGACCACTCACCAGCAGTCCAGTCCTGTTTCTCTTTAGCCCAGGCAAGACGCTTCTGACGCTGTCTGTGGTTCAAGAGTGGCTTGACACAAGGAATGCGACAGCAGAAACCCATGTCTTTCATACGTCTGTGTGTGGTGGTTCTTGAAGCACTCACTCCAGCTGCAGTCCACTCTTTGTGAATCTCCCCCACATTTTTGAATGGGTTTTGTTTCACAATCCTCTCCAGGGTGCGGTTATCTCTCTTGCTTGTACACTTTTTTCGACCACATCTTTTCCTTCCCTTCGCCTCTCTATTAATGTGCTTGGACACTGAGCTCTGTGAACAGCCAGCCTCTTTAGCGATGACCTTTTGTGTCTTGCCCTCCTTGTGCAAGGTGTTGATGGTCGTCTTTTGGACAACTGTCAAGTCAGCAGTCTTCCCCATGATTGTGTAGCCTATAGAACTAGACTGAAAGACCATTTAAAGGCTTTTGCAGGTGGTTTGAGTTAATTAGCTGATTAGAGTGTGGCACCAGGGGCCATCAATTTTGAACCTTTTCACAATATTCTAATTTTCTGATATGATGAATTTGAGATTTTCATTTGTTGTCATTTGTAATCATCAAAATTAAACAAAATAAACATCTGAAATATATGAGTTTGTATGTAATGTATGAATATAATATACAAGTTTCACTTTTTAAATGGAATTACTGAAATCAATCTACTTTTTCATGATATTCTAATTTTATGACCAGCACCTGTAAGCTTAGCTAGTAGTAACTTCAGCCATTAACTCGGAGAGCTGCTGATGTATGAAGTACAGAACAAGGAAGTTACACTACACACAGACTTGTTCTAAATTTAAATAAGTGAAGAAGAAAATAAAGAATCTGACTAGATTCGGTTCGTTCAAACAAATGTTTCACTTGATTGAGTGAATTATTACTCAACAAGACAGCACTACTCTAAGTCATGTTTTGCTGTTTGTGTGGAACCACAAACAGAGTCAAGGTGGGAAGGAGTATGGTTAAATATAAATTTAATATTGAACTAATGCAAACATAAAACAAATCAATGGTAACAAACTTAAATCAAAAACACTGGAATCATACAGGAAGAAAAAAAAAACCATTTAAACAAAGAACCTGACAAGACACTGAAAAAAGTGTTCGGACACAGTGCTAAAGGTTCATATATCACAGACACCAAACCGACAAGAAGAAACAGAAAAAAAAATGGAGGATAATGTTAAAAACAATAAATGGAACCATAAGGAAAGTGCACAGGAAAAATGAACACAACAGAAGTGATAGGAGTAAACTAAGACCTCTTAGTTGGTTGTATGAAACTCTGAATACATAAGAACTGAAAAGGTTAAACACATATACAACCACAAGAGTCCATAATACCAAGACACACTTTAACTTAGACATACAGGTGCTGGTCATAAAATTAGAATATCATGAAAAAGTAGATTGATTTCAGTAATTCCATTTAAAAAGTGAAACTTGTATATTATATTCATACATTACATACAAACTCATATATTTCAGATGTTTATTTTGTTTAATTTTGATGATTACAAATGACAACAAATGAAAATCCTAAATTCATCATATCAGAAAATTAGAATATTACTGAAGACCAATAAAAACAAAGGATTTATAGAAATGTTGGCCAACTGAAAAGTATGAACATGAAAAGTATGAGCATGTACAGCACTCAGTATTTAGTTGGGCCTCCTTTGGCCTGTATTACTGCAGCAATGCGGCGTGGCATGGAGTCGATCAGTCTGTGGCACTGCTCAGGTGTTATGATAGCCCAGGTTGCTCTAATAGTGGCTTTTAGCTCTTCTGAATTGTTGGGTCTGGTGTATTGCATCTTCTTCTTCACAATACCCCATAGATTTTCTATGGGGTTAAGGTCAGGAGAGTTTGCTGGCCAATTAAGAACAGGGATACCATGGTCCTTCAACCAGGTACTGGTAGCTTTGGCACTGTGTGCAGGTGCCAAGTCCTGTTGGAAAATGAAATCTGCATCTCCAAAAAGTTGGTCAGCTGCAGGAAGCATGAAGTGCTCTAAAACTTCCTGGTATGTGGCTGCGTTGACCCTGGACCTCAGAAAACACAATGGACCAACACCAGCAGATGACATGGCACCCCAAACCATCACTGACTGTGGAAACTTTACACTGGACTTCAAGCAACGTGGATGAAGTGCCTCTCTTCTTTTCCTCCAGACTCTGGGACCTTGATTTCCAAAGGAAATGCAAAATTTACTTTCATCAGAGAACATGACTTTGGACCACTCACCAGCAGTCCAGTCCTGTTTCTCTTTAGCCCAGGCAAGACGCTTCTGACGCTGTCTGTGGTTCAAGAGTGGCTTGACACAAGGAATGCGACAGCAGAAACCCATGTCTTTCATACGTCTGTGTGTGGTGGTTCTTGAAGCACTCACTCCAGCTGCAGTCCACTCTTTGTGAATCTCCCCCACATTTTTGAATGGGTTTTGTTTCACAATCCTCTCCAGGGTGCGGTTATCTCTCTTGCTTGTACACTTTTTTCGACCACATCTTTTCCTTCCCTTCGCCTCTCTATTAATGTGCTTGGACACTGAGCTCTGTGAACAGCCAGCCTCTTTAGCGATGACCTTTTGTGTCTTGCCCTCCTTGTGCAAGGTGTCGATGGTCGTCTTTTGGACAACTGTCAAGTCAGCAGTCTTCCCCATGATTGTGTAGCCTATAGAACTAGACTGAAAGACCATTTAAAGGCTTTTGCAGGTGGTTTGAGTTAATTAGCTGATTAGAGTGTGGCACCAGGGGCCATCAATTTTGAACCTTTTCACAATATTCTAATTTTCTGATATGATGAATTTGAGATTTTCATTTGTTGTCATTTGTAATCATCAAAATTAAACAAAATAAACATCTGAAATATATGAGTTTGTATGTAATGTATGAATATAATATACAAGTTTCACTTTTTAAATGGAATTACTGAAATCAATCTACTTTTTCATGATATTCTAATTTTATGACCAGCACCTGTACAGTAGAGAAACCAAAGATGTTGCTACATCTGATGATTTCTATCAAAAAAACTACAAGGTCATAAACAACACTGGTAGCAGCTGTAGAGGCCCGTAAATTTCAACTGGTTCATAAGCCAGCTGCAAAAAATAGATTAACAAGCAATTATAGCGCAGCCTCCCTTTTTTAGCAGCTGTGACAAGAAAAGCTTTGTTGATTTTTGGGGAATTTTCTCAAAAGTTTTTTTTTTGTTGTTGTTGTTATAAAATGCTTTAAAGCTACAGTGTGTAATAATTACAGGCATATAAAGTCAGAAATTTAATATATTATACATAACTATGTTATTTATCATCACCTATGAGCTCAGCCTTTTAACCATAATATTTGCGTTGCCTTAGAATTCGTTATTTATAATTACATAGGAGCGGGTCTCGCAGCCATGGAGGCTGACATCTTTGCGCTACAGCAAGCGCAGAGGCAACAAACTAGCGATTGCGAGATCTCCCATGACGCTCAAAAATAACTACGGCAAGTTGAGAGAGATTAACTGAGACGGTACTGAACAGTAGATGGCAGTATTATGCCTGAGAAGCGTTTAGTCTGCCTGAAACCAAAGAAGAAGAAGAAGCAGGTATACTGCGCCTCAGTAACAAGAAAGGTGAACAAGGCGGCAGGCGTGAGTGACTTTGCAAACTGTTTGGCACTGTGTGGCCAAACATCAGACGAATGGAGGATCATGCCTACTCTGTATCACAACGAAAAGCGGCGGACACCGAACCCCCGTCATCTAAGAAGCGGAAACACGACGAGAATAAACGCAAGCGTGACAAGAAACGGCAAAAAACACGGATCAACATTGGCACGGCATTTACACGATGGAAGTCACTGATGGAGGAAAAAGGTTTTCAAAGTGACGCTCAAGTTGCCAGTTTTCTCTTGGACAGGTAATTAATCCTACACACACAATTGTCTAATATCACTGCAGTTTTTGGAGTACAGGATGCTCAGACCTGTCTAAAACAATAACATGCTGCGTGATGATGCTGTTACTCTCCAGTATACTTATTCAGCAACGTCCCTGACGTTTCACAGGTAATGATTCAGTAATTTTCTGTAAAATAATTTTCTGGATATATACCTCGGTTACTTCTCTCCGGCTCCTTTGGAGATCTTCAAGCCTTTCCTCCTCTGCTCTCACCCCGCTGGCTCCCCTCTCTCGCCTGGCCCTAGCTGCACGGCCTCCCTGCCTTCGCCCTCGTCCTCTCCCTCTCCCTCGCGTTGTAACCCCCGTGCCACCAAAATGACTTGGACTCTGTAAACGGGGGATATATATTCTTCCAGCGAACACAATCTCGCTGTTAAACCAATGACTACAATTACTTCGTCTGTTTATATCACCATGCAAAGCAGCTCACCAAGACGTCACAACGATGTAGAAAAAATAACGGGTATATTTATTATCTTAAGTCTACATGAAATCTATACCCTACACAGACTAATGAAATACTATCTGTAAAATTATCTATGTAAACAAACCTCATCACTTGAGAGGGTAGGTGATGTGGACGTCGTAGAAGAAATTTTGTCCCGTAACGCTCGCCGTACTGTTGGGGGGGAGAAGCGGTGGGGGGGAGATGTTCATGTTGCTGCGGTCTGTAGTCTGACCGCTAGATGTCGCTGAAAATTACACACTGTAGCTTTAAAAAATGTTAAAGAGGGTTGTTAGTTATTTCATTATAACATTTCAAAATGTTTTTTTTTCAGCTCTAAAGTATGATAGAGTGTATATGTTAAGGTAATATGTGGGAAATATATTTTTCTGTATACTCAACAAGTACATTTTGATGGTGTATTCATTTTTCCGTTGTAACATGAAAATCGCACTAGGATTAAACTTGAAATCAAGATTTAAATACTATCACTCTGCTTTTCTGTTAATCCTTTCTCTAGGCCTCACCACTCTGCAGGTTGTTCTGGACACAGCAGCTGAAAAGAAGTGGCAGGTGACAGCCATCAATGTGGGAAACCTTAAAGATGAGAGGAAGGATGAGGCTTACCGCTCACTTTTCCAAGATCTGGAGAACAAGAAAGAGAGAAGGGTGATCCTGGACTGTGAACAAGACAAAGTGAAAGACATCATGGAGCAGGTGCTACATCTATGCGTTTTTACGCTAATGTTTCTCAAAAGTAAACTATTTGTAGACAAGTTTGTATAGTAGTTCTGAACAGCATTTGGTAAAATTATTATGCAAGGGATTTTTATTTTATTAGTCAACTACTCAGTTTTTCTTTAATTTTTTATTTTTTTTCATTTATTTAATTAAAATATCCCAATAATGTGGCTATAGATAAAATTAAAACAGGTGGGAAAAACCTTGAAAGCAAAGAGCAGAAACTGCTCAATTACTGCAGAATTACCCAATTAGACCAAAAATGTATTGTTGATAAATCCATTCTATGGAACAATGTTCAACGAACTAGAACGTTCAGCTGATTTAAAATAAAGCCTTTTGACCGCTTATTTAGGCCGTACACAAAACTTTATTTAAAGGAAATAAAGGAAATTAAACAAGGCATTTTCATTTACGCTTTGACTCATTACAAAAGTTAATTAACATTTAATTCTTCAAAACATCTTTTTGGCCAAATTTTGGCTAAATGTGCTGCAGTCAGTCACCTCTCTACAGGGAAAGAGAATCTGTTCATGTAGAAATGTTTTCCTTATTTTTGAGAGATATAATTTAGTTTTATCAAAATCTATGAGCTGAGATTGTACCTCTATTCATTCACTATTGCTCAAAAATCAGATAAGGTTTAGAAATAGGAATTCAACCTTTTCCACAAAGGGGTCATAGAATTGACAGACAGGCTCTCCAGCATTGCTTTCGCCTCAAACAGCACAGTTTCTAAGCTAATCTAATGAGTAACTGTAGCATTTGAAAACCTTACAAACTTTGGACGTTTTAGGACATTAATACTCCCTTTCAGACAGAGAGACAGGTAGATAGGCTGACTATTTAATTATATAGAAACAATGGCTGTTTTCACAAGAGATATAAGTTGAAACAAAAAGGCCTTCAAGAACTCAATTTCCATTAATTTCAGTAATTTGGTTTCATCTTAACTCTACGATTTCCTTTCACAAAGCTACAGATCTAGCTTATGTTTAAATTGCTTTGTTTTATGCATGCAATACGGTACCGTGAACCACAGTAGTGGCTCCAACACTTCTGTGGCACCCAGAACAGTCTCACCTATTTTCTAAATGACTCAGCTAAAAGGTCTTAGACCTTTTCTGGCCATTCATAGATTGCATAGAGCATTGTCCCTTTATGCCTGGATGAGAAGATGATTATTAGGTATGCAAAAGATAAAATAAAAATAAACAAAACAAAAAGGTAATGTCAAAAGTAACTACATTATATCGATGCACTAGCTGAATGACTTATTTATGCCCTTCATTGCATTTACACACATATTATAACAAACACAAACATTTTTATGTGGAACTCATGTTCAAACATAATAGAACTTGAAGTTTCACAGAATGTGTCTCATATAATATTATTTCTTGCTTTATATCATATAAACAATTATTACAAATACTCCCAACTGTCGTACAAAATACCAAAAAACAGCAGGTTTCAGGAAAATGAATAATACACATACATACATACATACATACATACATACATACATACATACATACATACATACATACATACATACATACATACATACATACATACATACATACATACATACATACATACATACATACATACATACATACATATATACATACATACATACATACATACATACATACATACATACATAATAAAACATGAATAACACATATTTTATAGTTGTATTGTATATTTGCAATGAAAAAAAAAGGTCATAGGTTGGTAATGTAATAATGTGATTTACTTAGTTCTTCCATAAATATGCATTTTGTTTTGTCTCCTCAGGTCATCACAATTGGGCGACATGTTAAGGGCTATCACTATATCATTGCTAATTTGGTAAGTTTAAAAAGCTTTGAAAGGTTTGTATAAAATAAATTCTACATCCTACTGTACAATGCAATTTTTTTTCTTACTTTTAAAGTTCTGTCAGAGATCAAATGGTTTCTTCTGCTTTCAGGGTTTTGTTGATGGAGACCTTTCCAAAATTCAGTATGGCGGAGCCAACGTTTCAGGCTTTCAGATTGTGGATTTTGATCATCCTTTGGTTTCAAAGTTTGACCAACGATGGGAGGCCCTGGAAGAAAAGGAATATCCAGGAGCAGACAGCAAAATAAGGGTGAGTGTAAGGACAAATGGACAAATATGTATATTTAATTTTATCATTGCTTTAACAGAGATGTATTACAATCTATTTGCGGACAATAATTCTCTATTATCTTCTTATCTTTGAACCTTTGAAAATGACTAACCAATCAATAAATAATAAGAAAACCATTCCCATATGCTTTCAAACAAATTAGGGATACAAATTCAAAACTGAAAAAAAAAATTAATAAATAAAAACACCACAAATGCAAATGATTAAAATAACAAAAGGACAATTATAATGACTGTGTTCCAACACAGGCTTGCCACTATGATATGAAAGTTAAACATCTCTAAAACCATCATCTTGAACTAAAAGTAAACATTAGACTAATTTTGATATTAAAGCATAAAGGAAACGTTTATACACAGGAGGTGCTTCATGATATTTTAATGGGTTTAAGTGTTTCAATTTTCCTCAACCTTAAAAAATGTTTGACAGTCGAATTATTTGCTACAGACTATCCTTTCTGGATAAAAAGCTTGATATGGTAATGCAAACATGCCAATAAGTTGTATTCTAGCAAGATTTAAATTGGAAGAAAACTAAACTGCACTGCTTCATAAGAAATGCTTCTGATTATGTTGTCAAAATTTAATTTAAGTATTTTGCCATGATCTGAGGGTTTGACATACACTATTAAAGTGCATATAACCTTTTCATACTTGTTTACATTTAATTATGTTATATGTGTGTATTATTAGCTGCAAGCCATTTATTTGTAGAGTAGAGATACATTTCTGTTTATTTTCTTATGCTAGCCAGCAGGCTGCATGCTTGATAGCTCCATGGTGTTGTAGCACTAAAGGCCTGGGTTTCAATTTATGCCGGGTCTTCTGCATGGTTTGCGTGTTTCCTCATTGCATGCATGGGTTTTTTCTGGGGTCTTCAGTGTCTTTCCCAGGTTCAACCTTAGCCCATCAGCTAAAGTGTGTAGGTCTTTGTAGGGGTTAAAATGTGTGCATTGTTTGCGTGTTTCTCTGTTGCCTTGTGATTGACTGGTGACCTGCCCTAGGTGTACTCCGCTTGCCCATTGACTGCTGGGGTATAGTTTAAACTTAGGATGCAGTTTACTGGCAATTTTCATAAATATGTTTAGTTTAATGTTCGACTTATACTTAAAAACTAAAAGATCCCCATCTTATCTTCCCTCCTTTAGTATACATCAGCTCTGACCTACGATGCTGTGCAGGTGATGACGGAAGCCTTCAGATACCTACATAAGCAGCGCATTGACTTTACAAGGAGGGCTAACACAGGGGACTGTTTAGCTAATCCAGCTGTGCCTTGGGCTCAGGGAGTGGAAATTGAGCGAGCGCTGAAACAGGTAATACTCCTTCTCCAGGTTCTTTTTATAACATTAACAAAATTAGGATATGTATAGCAAATGGTAATTGATTGTTTTTGATGTATTATGACTAAGAACATATATTTTCAAAGTAAGTGTACTGGTAAAAATGTTTACTTATTTGCTCTCTCTATAATGTTTACTAATCCAATAACTCGGAATGTTGAATATTGAAGAATAGTAAATATTGAATCAGTATAAGAAGTGTATGAAATAAAGTCCTGGTAATCTTTAGGTAATTTAATAGAAATAAATGGTGTGTTGTAAAGAGTTTTATAAAATATGTTAGGCACACACATATAGGCACCCACATGTTGTTTCAGATGGATTGACTGCTTTGTTAACTTGTTGCTGCTGATCATTGAAAAATACCAGCACATGTCAAATCTAACCTGCAGCACCTCCATTTATTAATTGTACCTCCATTTGAAAAAGTTATTGTTAGTCTAAAGTAATATACACCTGATTTCTTGAATGTAAAAATGGTACTTTTTTTTTTTAATAAACAAATTAAAAACAAGGAACAGAGATTAACCTTCCTAAGATTAGCCAACCTACCAAAAGCATTTTGAGAACACACTTACAACTTGTCCAGGAGGTCACAACCGAGGTAAGAACTACATTTAAAGCTCTGCAGCATCAACTTGCCTCAGTGAAAATGAATGTTTATGGTTTAAGAATAAGAAACCGACAGGACAAAAGATGGCTAAAGAAGATGAAGTGGTACAGTATGTCCTTAAAGAATCAGTCCTTGCTCCTATAACCTTTAATGTTGCTGAAGACAATAATTCTACAAAGAGAGTGGGCAATCATTCCTTTACATTGATTTAAAAGGCTTACAAAGAGTTATTGCGAACACTTGATGCCGATTGTTGTTGTTAGGGGATATATAACCAGTTAAGGTTATATATACCCAGTTAAGTTTTTTTTATTTTTTTACAGAGCCCCAGTTTGTAGGAGGAATTATTTTCCTAAATAAATACAAATATCATTTGAAAATATTGTTTGTATATACTTGGATTACTTTTTTTCTGTTGATGATTTTAAAAAAATGTAATCTGAAAGGTGCAAATATTTTTCTGCTGCCTTTTATAAGCACTTAAATCATTCAGCTGATCATAAATACATCCCCTTTAGAGTGTCAGAGGAGATACACAGATACTTAGACCATCTGACAAGTGTGATAACATCCAGCAATGGCTGCTTCCCTCTAGCCTCTAAAGATGTCCACTTCACTTCACCGGTTTGAAACGTTGCATAGCCCACACTGACAAGAAAAATCAACTCTTCGGCAATTTTATTTTTCCTAAAGAGTTATTTCATGTTCAAATGGTAAGAATATGAAAAAGCTAGAATCAGAACTATAAAAGATGCATATTATTATTGATCGCATGCTCTGCAATGTCAAAATGCATTCACAACAAGCCTCAACAGTCTTACTGTGAGGACCAGTTGCCGTGGTAACAGGAGCTCTCCCTTAGAAAATGCCAAACACCCACAAAAATTTGAATTACCTTAATGATAAAAAACAGACTTTAGCTTTATATTCGAATGTTTTATTGTGGAATGTTTTTTTTAAATAAAAATAATATTGAAATATTTATAAGGAATCCTGTTTGATAGTTAAGGTTGGACAAAATTTACTTCATATTTCATAACATATTCTCTCGTTGGTAGCAATAAAAACATGCCACAACATTTTTGAATTTTCTATGTTTAAATATACAAATATTAAAAAACTGATTAGATAAAATAAACCTAAATAATCTTAAAGGAATAGTACACCCAAATCATGATTAGCCTTCATTTTCTACTCACCCCCATGCTGAACAACACTCTGGAGTACTTTTTTGATATCTCAAATGCATCTGGAGATCTGGGAGGCTTCTTGCTGTCTGCTGACATTCAAATAATGGAGGTCTATGGTGCCCGAGGCAGAAAGGTCCATAAAAGTCCACAAAAAACGTGTCAATATTCCTCCATACTGCTCGTCCAATGTATTCCAAGTGTCCTGAGTGGGTAGCGTCCATAATTTACTCGAAACGAGGTCATTTAGAATGTTTTTAGAGCATAAACAGTAATTTATAGGATTTCCTAAAAGCGCGTTCACGAGTCTACGGAAACCAAACCAGATGAAAGTGCGCATTCAGCTCGGCAAAGAACTCATGCTCTTCCTCAACACTGAAGTCCTCAGACATTTTTCTGTCGTTGTTTCTTTCTTTGCACAGATAAACAGCACATTTCTTCTTCTACGCTTGCATTATTGGCAGAGCAGACGCTGAATGCGCACTTTCGTCTGGTTTGGTCTGCCGCGGTGTCCTGATATCTAACAAAGTGGTCACTTTTAGCTTTGTCAGGTGTTGATCTTTTGCAGTGACACTGAAAGCAGCAGGATAAACATAGTATTTACAAATTATGATCATATGTCACTTTAAAATATCATCAAACTTTTTTTTTTCATTCTAAATAATCCTTCACGATAATGACACAGTGTCATGATGGGTCTCTGTGTTTAAACCCACATGCAGAACACCACAGGAAACGGGGTAAAAGTTAAACAGTTTATTTGAAAGAAGCACACAAGAGTATGAATGAGCAGATTCTGGTACAGGTCCGGGACTGGAATCACAGAGTAATCTGCAGAGATGAATAGTTTGGTTAGCCAGGCAGTGGTGATGACTTGTCAGGGGTTCGATTCTGGTTTGTACCTTAATGAGGTTGAGACTGATCGATGGAGAGAGGGAACCGGTTGGGTCCAGAGACTGTGGATTCAGCAGAGAGCTCAGCAGCAGCAGCGTCTAGCTTCAGACTAATGAGGTTCAGACCTTGAGTTGATTTGGGGCTGGGGAATCAGACTGATAGTCTTCAGGTTTGGCTTCCTTGGGCAGACAGGCAGGTTTCCAAGCACAAGCTCCTCCAGAGCTACAGACTTCAGTCAGGCTTTCCAAAACTGGTCAACACTCCGGCGCCGAAGACAGGTCTGGCTGCTGCTTATGTAGGAGGTCTCCTGATGGGCTGATGATCCTCAGGTGTGCTGGAGGCTCCAGCCAAGGAGACCCACAGCGCTCTCTGCTGGAGACAGGTGGCAGATCTCCAGATCCCAACAGTACCCCAGATCTCAACAGAAAAAACATAAAAACAGGAAGGGATCCTTGGCGCCCTCTGGAGGACAAGCCTCTGGATCCCAACACACAGGGCCTATTGATATTGCTGGGATATCTTCATAATATATGAAGCACACCTACAGTAGGGTGAACTAAAGTCCTGCAATGGGTCGGGTACCTGCGGGTCCCAGACGGGTCACCCGCTAGAATGCTCTTTTGCAGGTGAAAAATACATACAAATAAAAATAAACGGGTCGGGGTCGGGCAGATATTTTTTTAGTGCGGGCGGGTAGTTGGTGATTTTTTTTTTATGCTTGTGTGTTGTTATGGACATCAGAAATGTTATATTAATCAGGCACTGGGGTCACCCTTGTTGTAGCTTAAAGCCCTGCTGGCAGTGTGGGCTTCCCTCCAAAAAGGCCACAGTCAGTGCATACACGTCTGCTGCAGTGTTAATGGCGCTGTTCTGCAGCGCAGCGTACTATAGCCTATTACTTGATGTGTTAAGGGGTCGGGTTGCGGGTTAAATATCAACGGGTCGGGTCGGGTTCGGATTTGAATTAAAGATATCCGCGGGTTACGGGTCGGGTTCGGTAGTCATCCTAACGGGTTCGGGCGGGTGCGGGTTGGTAAAACTCGACCCGTGCAGGACTCTAGGGTGAACCTAAACTTAGCTACTGAAAAACATTATTGGCTCTGAATGGTGTCTTCAAAATAAGTTTTAATCAGTTTTAAGACTTGAAATAGGGACATCCTGTTGTTTCTGTGTCTGCGACACTCTAAAGAACTAATATCAGGGGACAAACTGACATAAAATAAGGTGACCAGATTTCTGAAATCAAATCTGGGGACATTTTCAGCTAAGATAAAAAGAAAGACAATAATCAGAATTAAAATAGGAAATGGGGACAGTGATGCTTCTATCCATTTTTATATATTTATTAATATTTGAACAACAAATACCGAGTGTAAAATCCAGGAATGCTCCTCTCCTATTTCCAAACATTGATCAAATTAATCAATCGATAGTGTTTATTAGTACCATCTGGTCAGTTATTCTTCCCTGTTTTCTTCCCTCTCTCTTCTCTAGTTGTAGCTGACTTCTATTTTCTCTTTCACTCTTCTAAATAGAGTTTTCCTCTTCTCTCATTCAATCTTCTTTCTATCAGTCTTCTTATCTTCTTCCTCTTCTATAAATGTTACACTAATCTAAAACAGACATAATAAAATCAAATCCCCATAAGGAGAGATAGGTAACAAAAAAATTTGAGTGTAATTCTTATATATTCCCAAAATTTAAGACTGTTTATTTAAATTATTGGTATTTCACTTACTATGAAGCAAATTTCTCTTCTCGGTCAAATATTTATTTTTTACTAAGAGGCTTTAAAGTTTCATTAAATCCAGTCACAACTTCCAAGTGCGCATCTCACAACTTCAAATCAAACTTCTTATCTCATGGATGAAGAGATGCTGAGTTTGCAAAAAAACAATTTTGTATGATCCTAATTATCCCTATTACAAAGAAACGTGTGGCCACAAAGGTGTGATGGATGCTGATGTTGAGTTTTAATCATGTCATTAAATTAAGCGTTAATTGTTGCATGTGTTGTTACTATAAGATTAATAGTAATAATAATAAAGTTGAGCATGACACCTTGAGGAACCCCGGGAGGAACCTCGGAGGCTGTAGGCTTTGCTTTGCATAGGTGGTTTGGAGTGGGGCAGTTGCGGAGGATGTGGAATTTCGGCATAGTGCTGCGCTCTGCTCCTCCTCCATACGTTCACGGCTGCCAAATAGCTAGCTAACAGCTCTTTCTGCATGCATTGTGCTTAAGCACTCGTTCTACCGTAATAACAGTCTACATGCAACATTTGCCCCTCTTTCTCAAAACTGTAAAATCGTAGACGGCTGGTCACCGTAACATACAGTAACTTTAAGAGAGTAATATTCTTACCAATTTAATGAGGTCCAAAGATGTCAATATATAAGTTATACTGACGGGGCACTTAAAATCCAAGTAAAGGCTCTTTTTTCTTATTTCTTCATTTTTATTTCTTCATTTCAGCAATGTGTCCACAAGGAGATATGAGTTGTGTTTTTCAACAACATTCCTTCCACTATTGTCAAGAGACTATGTCCCATGTTGTCTTCTATCAACTGTTCCTTAATTATGTGGAAAGAAGTGCTTTGAAAAGAGAAACTCTGTTTTTTTGGAATAGAAATGGAAATTTGGACAATTCTTCAAATATATGTTAATCTCTTCCTTTTCTCCATGCTGTATCTCAAGAGAAAGTCTCTTTACCTTTTTGTGTTGCTGATACATAGCTGCTTATCAATTCAGCATATTTACTTAAGAAAAGTACTTTTACAACATGCAAATATGCTCAGCTGTTACATACTTTTTTATTTATGGTGCTGATGTTTCTGTTGTATAAAACCCTGTTGTCAGGAACCAAGCATTCAGTGAAAGAACAAAGGTGTAGAAAAATATCGATTTATTTTCGCCACAGTACGAACGAAAAAAATCCAAATGGAGCCACAAAAGAAGATATCAACTTATACAAACCAGAGTTGACCTCTCACAATGAACACAGGGGTATTTAACCACATAGGCTGGCCTACAAACAACAAGAAGGGGAGGGAGAAAACTAAAGACAAACAAAAAATAAACCTAGACATCGAAGTCAAATCTAGAAAGCATAACTACAACACAAAGCAGCAACATCTCAAAAAATGAAACGTGCAATTAAACATCTGCCGCGTGAAAGAAACATTAAAATACAAACACTAAAATAGTTGGAGGACCCTGACAAATGTCATTGTCTGAGAATATCATACAGTGAATCAAAATTTAAAAACATTTGCCACAAACTTTTTTTCTTTGATTTCTTTGTTGCTTTTAACACCATTTTGAAATTTTGAATCAGCTAAATGTTAGATACATTTACGTTGGTTCATAAAACTCAACTTAAGGCCTTTGGAATCCTTCTGGAGATGTATCTACTTTTTTTAGGCCTGGAAGAAAGAAATTTTGAAGTTAAGACCACAATGTAAAACTTAGTTAGAGACAATGAGTTTGATCAAAGATGTACTTTGTGTTTCTTCAGGTCCGTGTGGAAGGCCTGTCTGGAAATATTCAGTTTGATCAACATGGCAAGAGAGTCAATTACTCTGTGAATATAATGGAACTAAAGAGTAATGGTCCAGTTAAGGTAAGCCGATATAAAGTAAATAATCTTCACAAAAAAGAGCTTTCTCTGCCTACTTGTGTTGTGCTTTGATATGTTTTAACTGCATACTTATAGAACAAAGCAGAAAATATGCTTTGTGAAAATTATTGAAGGAAACTAAGCCATGAAAAATATTTCTTGATTGTTTCTTACTTAATGTATTACATCCATTATTTAAAATTTAATTAAAATAAAGGTAGCTTGATTAAAATAAAATTCTATCTGTTTAAAGTTAAGTATTCAGCCTTTCCCAGTAGTACTCAGAAGAGAATACCAAGGCTTGGTACTGATAGATATTAGCCCTGTTCTTCTTCTACCTTTTGTATGGTCAATACTAAGGATGCTACAATATTATGAGTAAAAGGAAGTAAGAAATGCTCTGCAAGCCTTCAGCCCTTTGGAAATCATGATGCAATGGAAACATATAAGAATGATGCTTGTGAAATTGAAGCAACAGCTTTATGGAAAAGAAACTACCAAAAAACGCAAGTTACTCAAATGTATTGAGAAGCTGAAGCTCTCCCTTATAAAAGCTAAAACACATAAGGTGCATACATTTGTATGTGTCACACAGGGTACACGTGAATAAATACTGTGTTTGTTCATCTCTTTGATGTGGCTGTGTCATTACCTCCTGTCACACAGGTATTGTGGCATGTAGTGCCTAAGTACCACATATAAACATCAGGAGGTCCCTATGCTAAAGGAACTACAACAGGAAGAAGACAGGCTCCTTTTCCTTTCTTCTTATTTCCTGCCATCACTATTCAGACCTCACTTACCATGGTGACCACTGTCATACATCAGTTTTAGCTTAAGAGCCCTTACCAATTTGTTGTATTTGGATTGGGCCCATATCCATTCTGTTGTTGATTTTAGTGGGAACAGCAGTGGTATAGGATGTGGGAATTCATCCTCCAATCAACCTCTGTCTTTCACAGTGTTTTTCTCCTTGGGCAAGACACTTCTCCCTGTATTGCCTACTGATGGTGGTCTGAGGGCCCTTGTATGACACCTGAGTGTGACAATCTCCTGTGAATGACTATATATATTTATATCTAGCACCTTGAAAGGTGCTACATAACTCCACTTATATATAATCTTTGTGCTATATACAGCTAGATATGACTATATTCATTAGTGCAATTATTTGGCACTTACACTTATCTATGTAGTCTATGAGTTCTGGTCATCTACCATTGTTTCCAGAACTTAGTCACACATAGAATTTAACCAAGGTGGCTGTCAGTCTCTTGGCAGCCATCTATATTCAATGTTCTACAGACTTACTGGCTCAATCCAAATACCTCAAACCAGGACACTTAAAGGAATAGTACACCCAAAACATGATTAGCCTTCATTTTCTACTCACCCCCATGCTGAACAACACTCTGGAGTACTTTTTTGATATCTCAAATGCATCTGGAGATCTGGGAGGCTTCTTGCTGTCTGCTGACATTCAAATAATGGAGGTCTATGGTGCCCGAGGCAGAAAGGTCCATAAAAGTCCACAAAAAACGTGTCAATATTCCTCCATACTGCTCGCCCAATGTATTCCAAGTGTCCTGAGTGGGTAGCGTCCATAATTTACTTGAAACGAAGTCATTTAGAATGTTTTTGGAGCATAAACAGTAGTGTATAGGATTTCCTAAAAGCGCGTTCACGAGTCTACGGAAACCGCGGCAGACCAAACCAGACGAAAGTGCGCATTCAGCTCAGCAAAGAACTCATGCTCTTCCTCAACACTGAAGTCCTCAGACATTTTTCTTTTGTTGTTTCTTTCTTTGCACAGGTAAACAGCACATTTCTTCTTCTACGCTTGCATTATCGGCAGAGCAGACGCTGTACTATTCCTTTAAGCAACGGAGGAAGCACTCCAGTGAACATGATGCATGCTATCTAAATAATACTGGCAGGAAGGAGCCAGGACAAGAAAACAGGAGGCTTCCTACTGTATTGATAGTTCATTTAGCATAGGAGCTTTCTAAAACTGCTTGCCACCGCTCCTAATACTTTGCATGACCAGATTAATAAGCAGTGCCAACCTCATGGAGTTTAAAAAAATAGCTTTCTTCACTTGTAGTCTGTGTGGCACCTTCGAATGTACACAACATTATATTTTGGGTTTTATAAGGGCGAGCTTAAACAGTTTACAGCATTTGAGTAACTTTGCTTTTTGTAGCAATTTTCCCGAAGGCTGTAGACCCAATTTCACTAGTATTATTCATGTGTCTGTCCGTTGGGTAATGTCATCTGTAAGGCTGAAGCACAGCAGTCCATATCTACTCTCCTACCCTGGAAAATGTTCTTACTGCTGACCCCATGATAGATGAAGGGGTACGCAATGTTGTGCCAGTTTATTTTTTAAAAAGAACAAGCTCAGTTCACACAGTTAAAAATGAAATCGTTCATGTTCTAAGTTCACGTTTTCAAAAATTAACTAAGTTAACTAACTTTAAATTAACTAGTTTAAGTTAATTTGGCAAATTAAGCCACAAAAGGTGATGTTTCTTGCGGACCCAAAAGCAGGGATGAGTAAGGCACAGATGAGTTCCTGTAGGTTTTATGAAAAACTGAGGCAAACATCCAACACAAAAATACTGAGAACCAAAAAACCAGCACACATCATGACAAACTCATGTGGGGAGCCAGAGACGAGGAAGCAACTAACAACAACAAGGAGCCAGCACTGAAGAACTGAACAAGGAGAGTATATATGGCAGATAGAACAAAGACTGGGGTAATCAGATGATATGGATCAGGTATTTATGGAAGTGACTAGAAGAGAGCTAGGGGAAAAGAGACAGGCACAAGAGACCTAGTAGGCGCAGTTCGGACAAAAGTGTGTGTTTTTTCTGTCAAAGTTTTCCTTTACAGTATTAGTTCATAAAACTCTGCCAAATGTTTTGCAAAAGTGGCATCAGAAATTCCAGCTGATGGGTCTAAATCGCGCAAACTAGTACTAGCAGTAGACATGCTGGTCTGTCCTGCTGTTAATGCCGTTATAAGTGTCATTATTAATTGAACGGGTACGTAAGCTGTCTGTGTTTCTCATTTTTAGAGTGAACGTCGCTCTCGTTCACCGGCATTATTTCAAAACTTGTCCATTCAGTTCACCGTTCACTAAAAATATGAATGGATTCAGTGTGGGGGTAGGAGCTGGGAATAGGAAGTAGGAGCTATACTTTGAGCTACTCCGATGTAGCCAGAGTAATCAATATTAGTTATCCACCAAGGAAGAATTAAGTTTGAAATTTGATAAACAAAGTTTAGAAATTCTAATTTCGATTGAAAAGTGTTAGAGTGGCAACACTTATGCAATCAGGGTTTTTTTTTTTTACTTTCTAATAGTTATTTTTTGCTCTAACATTTTTCAATTTAACTGTAAAAGACATACTTTATGTTGTATAAATGTTTTAAAGTACTTAATGATGATTTTAAATCACAAACACTTTTTTAGCAGGGCTGTTTAATGGGGTTGGGTGATACAAACCTTAAATTTCATCAGGATTATTTGTGGCATTTATTGAGAAATTATAAAAGTTAATAAAAGTAAAGTTAGATAAAAAGTAAAACTAATAATTAGCATCAGTATTTTTTTTCAGCAATAAACTTGCCAAGCTGTCAGATGGAATAATTCCTAATATAACTGTTACAGTGCTAACTGTACAGATTATTTTCATCATGTAACATTTTCTACTAAATTAATTTCGTTTATGCTTTTTAGACAATCCTCAATAACAAAACATCAATTCTTTTAAAATAATATACGTTTAGATTAATAGTTGTCACAATAATCCTGAATTGCAATGGCAATACCTTTTTACAAGATAACAATAAATAAAAAGATATCTGACTATATAATGTATTCCATTTACATTGTATTCTATCCAAATAATACTCTGCTCCAACCTAAAAAGCCTGTTTTTTTTATGTGTCTCTCTACAGATTGGATACTGGAATGAAGTCGACAAAATGGCTGTGACCAAATCAGATGTCTTTAGCAACGACACAACAGGAATGGAAAACAAAACAGTGATTGTAACCACCATCTTGGTAAATTTGTGTTGTTTAAATGCATGTTTTTGCCTAATGTATTTGCATTTTTAAATTATAATATAATATATAATTAAAATGCTATGGTACCTGAAAAACAGGTATCAGTTAACTTACCTACTGTAAAGAATATAACAGTGTAAGAAACTCCCAAATAACTAAAAATATCAAGGGAGAAAGAACTTGAATTGGTGAGTCAATAGAATTGTGAAGGTGTGTGATGAAAGAGTTTTTAATTAAAACAAGTGTGCTGGAGAAATGAACAAAAATCAACAGATTTTCACCTCGTATTATCAAATTTAAATACACAATATGTTATAAACAAAAAAAATGAATAGTGACCATAAAGATCACGACTGTTAGACCACATAAAAAAATATTTTTTTTTGTATTTCTAACTGATGGTGTTAACTGAAAAGGCAGAGGCACAATTATTTAGTGCTATGGGACCAGCTCCACTGAATGTTAAGCCTGAGGCAAATACTTTATCTTTGAAGCGGTTTTCCTCATTGTAATTCAAACTTGTTCTCCACCTTCAGGAAGCTCCATATGTCATGCTGAAAAAGAACGCTGACCTTTTTGTGGACAATGAGCGCTACGAGGGTTACTGCGTTGATCTGGCTGCAGAGATAGCAAAGCACTGTGGCTTTAAGTATCAGCTGAAAATAGTGGGTGATGGAAAGTACGGAGCCAGAGATGCAGAAACCAAAATCTGGAATGGAATGGTTGGAGAGTTGGTGTATGGGGTAATTCAAACTGCTTACACTGCCTTTATAAGCGCTCAAAGATGGTATAGTGTAACACTTATGGTACTTTACTTCTACAGTTAATATATAACATTTAATAAATAGCAATAATACAGTGGATCTTGATTTTTTCCTAAAATGGATATGTTTAAACGCCATAATAACATTCACTAAAGAAACTATCCTTTTGGTTTTATCCTTTGGTCTGACAGAAAGCAGATATAGCAGTGGCCCCGCTGACCATAACATTGGTGCGCGAGGAGGTGATTGACTTCTCCAAGCCCTTCATGTCTCTGGGAATCTCCATCATGATCAAAAAGCCTCAGAAATCTAAACCTGGAGTCTTTTCTTTCTTGGATCCTCTGGCTTATGAGATCTGGATGTGCATTGTTTTCGCCTACATCGGCGTCAGTGTGGTGCTGTTTCTCGTTAGCCGCTTCAGCCCCTATGAGTGGCACACAGAGGAGTATGAGGACGGGCAGATCCAGACCAATGAATCGACTAACGAGTTTGGCATATTTAACAGCCTGTGGTTCTCACTTGGAGCTTTCATGAGGCAAGGATGTGACATCTCTCCTCGGTAAGTATAAAAAAACATTTCGTGTGCTATATTATTAAGAACTTAATTAGACAAGAATGACCTTGAAATAATTTATACATTTGATTTATTTTCCAAATGGGTCACATCAATAACTTAATTTTATGTCATTAGTTATTATAAATCAGTATTTTCTGCTTTCACTTTTACTCCAACAATTTTAATATGTAAAGAAACTATGTAACAGAGCATAAACATATCCATACATGATATCATTACCTTGTTCTACAACAAAATACTATATATTTCAAGCTAACTATTGATTCAACCAAAATGGATTTCTCTATCCTTTTAACAATTGATGCTCTCTAAGACTCAACAATATTTTGTGTCCTCATAACATGCTTTAACCTGGTATATCTTTTACAATTTGTGAATGTTATGCTGTTTTTTTTTTTTCATTTTCTAAATTAACCATTTCAGTTACAACAGGGCTTTCTGTTACAGTTGTTGACAGATTTTTATTTTGATATATAAACTTCAACTAAAGTATTAGAAAAATAGGGTTTTTATGTTACAGAATACATTACATTATAGTATATTACATTTTTATCAGTCTCTTTTCGTAAACAACAATGAAGACTAAAATTAATCTGTTAATTGACTGATTATCTGATCGCTTGCTACCCTGTAGTTGTTTATTTTCCATAAATGCTGCTTGTAGCTCGCTAATTGCATAAAAAAATATATATTTATGATAATTCATAGGGGAAAAGGTGCTGTCCCACCTTGGTTTAGCAATTATTGCAACTGGTAATGGTTAATAAGAACCAGTTTATTTTTCTTGTAAGCAATGAATATGTGTCTTCTATTGGCCACATTGCTGGCATTACAAAGCAACAGGTGGAGAAAGGGAAGAGGTGCATTACTTTGCTCTATAATGTCAGAGGAAACTGGTCTCTCATTTTCTCATGGCTAAAAACGTTTAAATACACTGAAAAAAATAATGCGACCGCTGTTGCTGTTTAATTAATCTTATTTACGGTAGTTACTTTAACACATTTTTTTATTTCCTACCCTGCTAACATGAAACAATTTTGTTAAAGTAACTAAATATGAATATAAGTAAATGCCAAAAATGGTTCCAGTAAGAATGATTTGCTTTGTTTTTTGTACTATTTGTATTTATTGTTATTCTTTTTAGCCCTACCGTTACAAAAAACACCATTAGTATATTCAGTGACAAGTGGATTTTCACACATTAATTTACTAACAAACAAAAGCTAAAATAAAATCTCAGTGGCAAATTTACTGCAGTTTCTTTTTCAGAACAGGCATTTGTAGAGAAGTCACAAAATTACTTTCATCAGTGTTAATAGTTTAGTATATGCTTGGACAATGTAAATGTTGAAAGCTTATGAAAGTTGAAAGTGATGCTGAGCTGTGGACTCCAGAGATGAATCAGTCTGCGACTTGACATGCCCTTTACATCACACTCTGGTGATGTGAAGGGTGTCAACATGACTCCCAATCAGTGTTGTATGTTTCCCTACAATGTGTTTCCAATTTACAACCTGTGTTTCAACTGCTTAAACCTCTGAACTTTTTTCAGTGTTATGTTTCATATTTACAAAAAGACATACATTTAGATGTTGGTACTAGAAAGACTTATTTTTATTTATTTGTTTGTTTGTGTTTTCTTTTTGCTTATTCATTGTGGAAAATGAAATAGTTCGTCATGCGTCTCAATAAGCCATCTTAAGTTTTGCACATGTGCTGCTCATTTTGCCTGTTTTATATTTTTATGGAGCTAGATAGGTCTCAATTTTCACAAATACACATATGTGATTCATACATGCACAGGACAAGATCCACACCAGTGGCGGCCGGCCCATAGGGGGCGCTGGGGCACCGCCCTCCCTGATAAGAAGAGAGAAACGTAAAATATATTTTTAGAAATTAACTCATTAATGTCAGTTTTACTCTCTAGACTGTGTACCTATAAGCAAAACAAATTATATAAACTACATTTCCCTATCTACTGTCATTAATTTGTGGATTTCCACAGACAGACTCCTACCGTCTCTGTTCTGGGGGCTGTGATCAGACTGACCCACATTTGCAGAGAATCTGTCAATCATGTACTATTGCTAGGTGAATTTAATGGCCAATCAGCGTCTCGGAACTTTATGGTATTGGGGCGCTGAAAATACTGCGCTTTAACAGGCTTCTGAACCCAAGCGCAGGTGCAGACAGTTAGAGGGAAGATGGCGAATGTAACGACCGAGATGCAGCTTCCACCAAATTCGGTGAGATCCTTATTTATCTACCTGTTTGCCAGAAGAATATCCCTGTTGTAGGATATGAACATTTCATGTCATGGTTATTGTGACTGTGACGAATCCACCTCGTCGCTTAAAACAACCTCTCTAACTTTGCGCGCCACACACACATTCCTGTTATACTGTGTTTGTGAGGACAATACACTCGCGCTGAGACCAGTAGCTCCATGAACTTAAAACACACAAGCTGTTCCTGGTTACCTGCTGGCATATTGAGGGTGCACACTTAATATTTCAGTGGGGTTAGCCGTGTGTGTGTGTGTGGGGGGGGGGTGTACGTGTTTATGCTACAGGGACTTGTCATCTTCAGTCTGGCTGCGTCTTTGCTGGGTTCAAACCCAGTTTGGTGTAATTGAATAAGTCAATGAATCTATGTAAAAGAATTAAGTTGTAAAAATTATTTGTTTTTGTACATCAATTGTTTGTGGAGGTAATATATGGACAAAACTGATTAATGAGAAGAAATCAGAAATAAGAGAGCCTGATGTGAGGGGCTTAAACTATTTAATGAGGGCTGTGGGAAGAAAAGCGGCAATTTTTGTTTTCTGTTTCTTTGTTACATTGCTGGTAACTGGAGGGAGGCTGAGGCCCAGAGTATCTTGTATGTTTAGTTTCTTTTGCACCCTGTTTTGAGTTTTTGAGCTCAATAAATCACCAACACCGGTAACCCGACTGAGACTGGATTCTTGGAGGCCAAAGAACCCCGTCACAGTGACCCAAATCATCACTGTTACTGTTATTATATAGTAAATTAAATCATTACTGTTAAATTGTATGTATTGTCCAATTGTTTATTTGAATTCTTATTCCGGATTAGTTGGAGACATACACTAGGCTATATCAGCCCCACCAAAAATATTTTTCACCAGCCGCCACTGATCCACACATGCACAGAACGAAACACACAAGCACAAAGATGTTCACACACACACATACAGTGGATGTAGGATATGGGGGTCATCCCACGTGGAGTACTTTCTTGTGATTGGCTTACACAAGGGAGCTTTGTGATTGGTGGCAAACCTCCCTGCTTAAAAAAATGCAGTGAAGTTCAAAGACAAGTGCTACTTTGTAATTTACTGTTTTTTATAATTGTTTATTGACCAGAAATACTTTGGTGAATCTTGTGCTGTGCATGTTTGGATCTTGTCCATGCGTGAATCCTGCTGTGCATGTGTGGATCTTGTCCTGTGCATGTATAAATCACATATGTGTATTTGTGAAAACTGAGACCGATCTAGATGCATATGTTTTTCACACTTTGCTTTGAGAGACGTTTTGGGTAAGTGATGTCTGGGAAGATTCAAATGTCCAGCTATTGATGAGACCAAAATGTCATGTGCGACCAAGGTGTTTTACTGGCTATTTAAAATGGTATTACATGGCTTAGATACACAAGTATAATATAGGATAGGGGAAAATAAATTAGTAAATAATGAGGGTGGATTGATAAAAAAGATGCACTGACCCAAGGCTGTTCTATATTCTGGTATTTGTTTATCAATAATGAATGCTTTTCCCTTCGAAAAGTGCTTGAAAGCCCAGGAATTCCATGTCAATAAATTAATGCAGAAGAAATTATTGCTTCAAGTGATCATTTGAGAATAAATCCTTTTGCTGCTTTTGTTTTTCTGCCATAGATCCTTGTCGGGGCGTATTGTCGGTGGCGTCTGGTGGTTTTTTACTCTAATCATCATCTCCTCCTACACTGCTAACCTGGCTGCCTTTTTGACTGTCGAGAGAATGGTCTCTCCAATTGAAAGTGCAGAGGATCTGGCCAAACAGACTGAGATAGCATATGGAACTCTAGACTCTGGCTCCACAAAAGAGTTTTTTAGGGTAAGAGATGCTCAATTTCTTTCTTTTGTCTGTAGCCATGGAAACCACAAGTTTCAGGATGCCTTAGCCATTTTTTTCCCCTTTACTCATTTTTTCTTTACTCCATTGAACTCAATAAAATACCTCTGATTCATTAAAAAAGTATCAGCTCTCTTACAATTACAGTTGGGAGGTCTGCACAACAGAGCACACCAAGTTTACCACTAAAGGACTTAGTAAAAACATAGAATGCAGGTTTGAGAATAGCATGAGTAAACCATCCATCCATCAATTTTCTACATGCTTTATCCCTCCTGGGGTCACAAGGAGTGCTGGTGTCTATCTCCAGCTTTCTTTGGGCGAGAGGAAAGGTACATTTTGGATAGGTCGCCAGTCCATCGCAGGGCAAGCCAGAGAAACACAGAACAAACAGCCATTCATGCACACACCCCTAAGGAGAATTTCGAGAACCCAATTAACCTAACAGTCATGTTTTTGGACTGTGGGAGGAAGCCGGAGTACCGGGAAAGAACCCACGCATGCTCAGGGAGAACATCCAAACTCCATGCAGAAAGATCCCAGGCCGGGAATTGAATCCAGAACCTTCTTGCTGCAAGGTAGCAGTGCTGCCCACTGTGCCACTGAGCAGCTTAGTACGAGTAAACCTCTAGACTGATATCTGTGGGTGAGATGCGACCTTAACCTGGCCGTTTGAGTTAAAAAATAAATAAATAAACTAAGTTTTTGTGGAGCTGAATTAAGACAAATTTCTAAATTGTCAACTTTGATCATGTCAGAAAAATAGATGAAAATTTTGAAAGGAGGAAATAACTGAAGGTATTTTTCTTTTTTCACTGTTTTCTTAACACAGCGCTCCAAAATTGCCCTCTTTGACAAAATGTGGACTTACATGCGCAGTGCAGAGCCCTCTGTGTTTGTGAAAACCACAGCGGAAGGCGTCCAGAGAGTCCGGAAGTCTAAGGGGAAGTATGCCTACCTACTAGAGTCCACCATGAATGAATACATCGAGCAGCGAAAGCCGTGTGACACCATGAAGGTGGGAGGTAACCTGGACTCCAAAGGCTACGGGATCGCCACGCCCAAAGGATCCTCATTAAGGTGGGTGGAATAGTATAACAATGTGTCCAATGTTGTTATAGTATCCCACCTACCCTGATGTAGCTTTGCTTATGTGTCTCTGGTTTGTATAAAGGAGATGAGGTAATGCCCCCTTCCTTTACATTGTTTTCGAAAAAGGAAACATTGCAATTTATTGTAAGTCCATAAATTGCAAAAACTTTTAATAAAAATAATGACACGCAATTATTCAACTAATTGAATTATTCATTACAAATCGCTTCTAAATTATTAATGACTGAATTTCAACAGGTTTCTTTTTAACCTGTTTTACTGCCATTTTTCAGTAATATTAAGAAAAGCTGGAATTCTGATTTTAAAAATACACAATTGCTTCATCTATCCCCTGCACTAGAACACTCTTGTGCTTTATCTGTTCTAGCTTATGCTTTTCCCCATTTGTTTACTAAGCTTAATATTTTACCTGTTTTTCTATATTGTCACCTTGACTTTTCTATGATTGCATAGTTTGAATGCCTTTTTTTAAAGTGCTAGTCATTGTTAGATCGTTAGGATTGTAGAAATGTCATTTTTCCTGCTATGCTTTCCTAAACCTTTGCAGTACGCTGATTTTATTTAAATATCTGATGAATTGTTCCTTTGTGGAAAAATTGAACAGAACAAAAACTTTTACATTCTCTCAATTGTCGTACTGCTTGGGTTTCAAAATGTAATTTGTATGTATTGCTATACAATGATCTTTAAAGCTATTTTAATATATCTTAAGATACAAATAGGCTTTTGAAGTTCTAACATTATAAGGTTTTGCTAGAAACTCCCTCTTTTGTGAAATCTAGTATCTACTTACTTTTGTAGAGGGTATAATGTTGGGTGATGTTAGGAAACTCTGCATGCTTCTTGGTATATTTTCATCAGGTCTAACCATTTTTCTCCGTTACTGCTGTTTTGCTGTCTCTCTTTTAGTGGGGTCACTTGCCAGACACTGTTATATGTATGTTATGGATGTGAGTACGTTGCAGTAGCCTCTAGTCCCCTGAGTTTTAGCCCTCTGTCCTCTCTTTTGTATTATAGATAAGCTCTGCCACCTTTTGAAAAACGTAAATGTTACAATCAGATTTGATCCTGTCTACATACCGTAGCCAATCATGATAAAAAAAAAAAAAAAAATCCCAATATTTATTAGAGGGGAGAGGATAATACAGATCATTTTAGCACATCCAGTTTTCTTGAATACCTCTAAGGGAGTAATAGTCTATTTGTAAGTGGCTCACCCTGTCTTACAAGTATGTTTTATCGTTTCAAGAAATGCGGTTAACCTCGCAGTACTAAAACTGAATGAGCAAGGCCTGTTGGACAAATTGAAAAACAAATGGTGGTACGACAAAGGAGAGTGCGGCAGCGGGGGAGGTGATTCCAAGGTCAGCCCCAGTGAGCAAACTGATGGGTAACTCATTGCAACTCCTGAAAAGTAAGCAGCAATTCAGCGCAGGATCCCAATCTGCACTGACAGCAGACCAGTCACCTGCTGAATCAGCTGCACAGCTAGCAATCCTCACCAACGTTAGTCATTGCACTTACACATTCTATTTACTAAAGAAAGTTTAGAAAATATAGAAGGAAGTTCTTGTAGCTTGAACTCCTTTAATTAGTATCACTGCATTTGTTCATACAATATGGCTGCTGCTCTTGCTGCTTACTTCAGGCGATACGTTAATGCACATTTGGCTCTGCAAAACTCGCATTTGCTTAGGCCAGATGGCGCATCAACGTCTATCGCCACTGTGACAGAAAGAAGAGAAAGAAATGTAAGAAAAGAGAATCAAAGAGAGAGAAAAAAAAAACTTGAATCAGTGTTAATGTAATAATAACATAAAATAACATTTTCAATGTTATTTATGTTATTTTCCACGTGAAGAACGCCAGTAAACCTTGCAGTATTGAAACTCAGTGAACAAGGCGTCTTAGACAAGCTGAAAAACAAATGGTGGTACGATAAAGGTGAATGTGGAGCCAAGGACTCTGGAAGTAAGGTTAGTCGCTGCAGGTTCTATGTGATTCAAGCACATTCATAATTAGTGGGAATGACCCCATTTAAAGTAATGATAAATCATTTCAAGCCAATGCACAAACATAGCATGAGATGCCTTGGTAAAATGTAATTTACTAATGCCTGCAGAACTACTAATGATTAATATCATATATTTTATATTACAGTAATGCATGCACTGTCATTATTAATGTTTACACCTTTATCAAAATGACCCTTAAATTATCCCTTTTCAGCTTTGCACTTGCAAATACAGATGAAATAAAAAGCTTTTTTCCTACAAAAAAGCTTTGACATATTGAATATATGTATAATGGTTTTAATTATTTGGATGCAGCTACACAAATCCAGAAAAGTAAGCACTGAATACTAAAATCTGAAAGTGATTGGCCAAACTTTGGACCATATATAAAGGGTGTCCAATGATGTTTAATGTCTGTATGTGTACTGCTGTCTGTTGCCGTCTAGCAATGTTTGTTTTGTGAGTTTTTTTGTGCTTCCTAATTTTTCTATCATCTCGTAGCTCTTTAAGTGTTCTGACAATTACTATAAAGCCACCATTAGAAATAAAAATAAAAAAACACACAAAAAGCTCCTTCACCTTATTTTCCAATCTCAGGTGTCCTAATTAAATGACACCAGTTTATATAAAAATGATCCTTTTTTCTGCTTCTTTTTCTTCAACAAGCACTTGTTTCTTTTTTCTCGATGACTCACTTTGTGTTGTTGCATGTGAAATAAAAAGGAAAGAAGAAAGAGAGAGAAAGAACTGTATTGTCTGTGGATGTTGTGTTTGTCCCTTCCCACTCATGGATAAATTCTGCACCACTTTGATAAGGTAGATCCCTATGTATCCATTTAGTATCACTTTTAAATGAATACATGGGTGTTTTATAGCCCCAACAGAGCTTATGTGTCCAACCCTGACTGGTTTTTAAAAGTCTGTCTTTCCTCTTGTCTTTGTCTTTTAGTAAAAGTCTTTGAGCACGTTTGTAACAGCTTAGCCCTTTCTAATGGGCAACCCCTGTAAATGGTCCTCATAGAGTACAAATTTCTGATAGGGATCCATTACACAGTTATCTATTATGCTGCAACATTTCATTGTAATTAACTAACCACACCCACCACATTGCTTCGACTTTACCCCCACTTGAAAAGAGAACGGATGTGTTATACGTCTTGTTATTTTCTGTTCTTTTTAAATATTATTTGTTTACAAAGAAATCTAGATTATTTCATGTTGTGGTGCATTTTGTGTATGGTTCAGTAATTCCTGTGATTGTGCGTTTTGTTTTAATTTTTTCATTGATGTGCATCTTTTTTATTTTTAAAAGTCTGATTTTACCATTACCCTAAACACTAATCCTCATCTCATGTCCATTTTGCAGGAGAAGACCAGTGCCCTAAGCCTGAGCAACGTGGCTGGGGTCTTCTACATTCTGGTCGGCGGACTCGGTTTGGCCATGCTGGTGGCCTTGATAGAGTTCTGTTACAAGTCCCGAGCCGAGGCGAAACGAATGAAGGTGGCAAAGAATGCACAGAATATTAACCCAACTTCCTCGCAGAATTCACAGAATTTTGCAACTTATAAGGAAGGTTACAACGTATATGGGATCGAAAGTGTAAAAATTTAGGGGGTAGGGAACGAGGTTTTCATAAATTCCCCCCAAATGCACGCTTTTTTGGCTCATCCGTTCCATCCTTGAGTGTTAGTGAGTGACGAGGTTGGCCAAAGGATCGTATGTATTGGTGACTTATGATTTTAATGAGAGAGAGAGATACTCCCCCTTTTTACTAGCATAAAATTATGTTTGTTAATTTATGTTCTCTTCCTCTTTGAAACCATTTTCATGTATGACTGTTGATGGCCATGCTTGTTAATACCTCTGTCCTAGTAACATATTTCCACAATAATGCTTGCAATGACCATTCAGAAACCTTAACATGATCATTTTCATCTCGCATTGTTTTACTCACAGACGTCTCATTACGCTCTCATCTACATTCTCATATTTGTGTTTCAATAATCTTTTAAGTATTTTTGATGTCAGACGCAGCTGTCTAACATGTTGCTTTCTTGTTTGTGTGTGGATCCTTTTCTGTGTGCGTGTGTGTGATGATTGCGCTGGCTTGTGTCTGGATGTGCATGTGGCTTGTATGCTTTTGTAGGTGACCTTTGGGGATGCCATGAGGAATAAAGCAAGACTTTCCGTTACAGGGAGTACTGGGGAGAATGGTCGGGTGATGACTCCAGAGTTTCCCAAAGCTGTCCACGCAGTCCCGTATGTGAGACCTGACATGGGGCTAAACGTCAGCCTGACAGATCTATCCTGATCACTGAGAAACTCCTGAGTGCCTTACAATGGTTTTAATAGAGGGATCGTTTTTGTTTGATATCCTCCCTCCTTTGAGTTCACTATTTGTTTTTTTTGTCTTGAGAAAAAGTAAAGGTCTGGATAGAGGTTTCTTTTTCTCTATCAAAGACTTATACTGCGCTCTCTATCTACATTTTCCATGAAACGCTTTCTTTGAAGGGTTACATTTAATTTAAAATATAAAGAGGTGGCTTTTGTTTTCTAAACTTGTGATATCATGCTTTTCTACCTGCTTGAACTGGACTGAGTCAGAAGCAAGGGCTTGATTTACGGCTGCAGTTTGCCCCGCTGTGTTTGTGTACCTGTGTGGTGTGCATGAGTGTGTGCAACAGAGAGTGTGTGTGTGTGTGTGGGTGTGTGTGTGTGTGAGAGAGTGAAAGGGGAAAATAAAAAATAAAATAAAAACTGTTTCTGTAGTCCCCCACCACCAAACTGGATTTTCAAGCACACTTTATATCATCTCCATTAAGCTGTGTAATGGTGTTTTTTTTTGTTTCTCTATTTGATTGTTTTTGTTTGGTTTTTTTTTTTGTTCTTTTTGTAAGAAAAGAAAAAAAAAAAGAGAAAAAAATGTTTTTATGTATTTTCACAGAATAGCTTTTAAAGAAACCTGGGATCATACTGGTTGGATATAACCACTTAACATGTGAGTTCAGAGAAAGTAAAAAGTACTTAACAGCTTCTAGTTCCATATTTTGAAAGCCAAATACATTGAGAAATAGAGAGTGAGATCTTAAAGTCATGTAATTAATTCTTAATTTAAAAAAACTTTCCTGTATATTTTATTCTGTAACATTAGGTGTTGATATGATCTTTAAGTCAATGCTTGATATTTGGAAATAATCCTTCTTGGCTTTTTATTGTTGGAGTTGCTGCAGCAATTTACCTTCATTCTTTGTCTCTGTTTGCTTCAGTGCTTTTGCTACTTGTGTTTTTTTCTGATGAGGACAACGGTTACCACTCTGTTTTTCAAGAAAAAAACTAATGTGTTTACATGCCATGAATGGAAACCACTGAACAGTATGTTAGAGCATTTTAGCATTACATTTGGAATATAAATCATGAGGCATCCACATTCATATGGCTTAGATGATGGTTCAAAATGCCAAATAAGTCAGAGTGCCAAATTCTAGTGCCAGTAGAAATAACATAGTTTTATTATAACAAATAACTGTCATCTCAGTGAATGTAAATGACTCTGATACATTCTACAGTATAACTTTTGTGTACAGTTGATGGCAATGACAATGCTAATAACAATAGCCTTTTCGCTTTGCTTTCTTGTCTCCATATATTTTGCATTGAGCTGACAATGAAGTAGCACCAGTTGCATGTTGTTGCCGCATATACTACATATGTTTGTTTCATTACTGCCAAGCATCCGTTTTCATTTTAATGCTATGATTGTGAGGTTAACTGTTTGAAATTGGAACTATAATGTAAGACATACAGTATATATATAAATATATATATAGATATATAGATATACACAAAATATATATGCATAAAACATATATTTTATATAAAATGTTAAAACATTCAAATATTATACCCTGTTACAAAAGCTACTCTACTTCCATGAAATGTTAAATTAATGGTTAGTATTATCAAAAATGTTTTATTTCTTTTTACATTCTGTTTTGCACAATTTTTAAGATGAGCACATTTCTCTTTAATTCTCTATTCAAAATTCAACCTAAACTGTACTTTTTTTAATGTGGTTTCTTGAAATCAACATTTGACTCATAAACCATAGTTGCTAATCAGTTTGTTACATATTCAGGCTTATCACTGACATTTTGTATATGGAATGTGTGCTAACTTCTTTATTTTTTGGAACTATTTCTAAATAAAAGTTGCTGATTTCTTGTTACTCTCATGGTATCATTTATTAAGAATAAGATAATGTCAACCCTGTGGTACAGAGCCTTCCAGCAACATGGTATCCAGTCAGTTAGTTTGTTCAAATCACATTTTGTCTGCTATAGGTGATTCAAATTAAAATGTGTCATTTTGCAATACGTCTTTAAGAGTTTTTGCGACATGAATTTTAATCAGTATGCCTTACAGCTAGTGTTGGGATTGTTATTTTAAAAAGTTATAGTTACTAGTTAATAATACAAAAAAAAAAAAAAGAAATGAAAGCATGGAAGTGAAAAATAATGCTTGTCAAGCGATTTACAAATGATATAAATACTTTGCAATAGAATTAATAGGGTTTACACCATTCCAGAAAAAGTGAAAAGCACAGAAAGTTAAGAGTGACTCCTGCAGACAGCTATCATTAAGTGTTGAGATGGATTAGCTCCTTTAGATTAGAGCTTCTAGCTGATCCGTAAAAGTCTTTGTTCCTGCACATAAAGAGCAAATTGCTTAAAGGTTTAGTCTTTGACTTCAGCAAAAGGTTTTCTTTAGGGACACTGTCACTGAATCTGTGATTCAGTGTCATCGTCTTTCCTTTCAATCGGTGTTCAAGGTACAGTGTATGCTGATCCCAGCCAATCTCAGCAAATCAGCATCACGCATGTGTATCCCAGTTCTTTGCTCCTCTCTGCCTTAAAAACGCCCCTCTGCAGGCAGCAGGGAGACCATGGGTGTGTTCGATTTCAGTGGCTGGGTCATCCAAGGACGACCCGTCCTTTCGGGGGTTTATAAGGAGACCTTATGAGTTTGGCTATGGAGATCCTCCAGCCTTTTCTGTTTGTCTATCACCTAGCAACCCTGATAGTTTACACACAAAGCAGGCAAAGAATGAATGCCGAAACTCTCACTACTGTTCCATGTGCAGTAGCATCTGTTCAGTGGCAGTACAGCCATTGCGCATATCAGATTGCAGTCCCTACACTGAAGAGATATTGGAATCTTTGCTAAAATGTCAGCCAAACCCATTTTTACATGGACAGGTATAACATCTTAACAAACCAAACATTACCCACTGCATATCTGACTCACTAACCATGTAAACAACTATTTAAATTAATTTCAGACGGTACTATTCACATATTTATATTATATTAAACTGCACTTACTGTACAATATTTGCCACTGTTCTGCATCATTTAAATTTTTCCTCTGAGCATGGAGCAGCCGTCTTCCGTGGACTCACAATGAATCATGGGATACCCAAAGCTACAGATGATATGTCCTTTAAAACGTGCAAAAAGAAGGCTGCATATGTCGAACGTCATCCTTTTCGAACAGGCCACGGTGCTACACTATGACTATTCCAAAAACTACATCAAAAGTCTACTAAAAAGTACGTCCATGTGCAGCACATTTTTGTTGAGTGTTCGTCACTAAAGAATTCCATTATATAGGAGGAATGCAATTAGTACCAACTCACAGCTCATTCCGCAAGTCAGTGGTATATGAGCAAACTGAAATGAACTCAATTCATCCATCCATCTTCTAACACACTTAATCCCAAGTGGGGTGGCGAGGGGTGCTGGTGCCTATCTCCAGCTGTCTACAGGCGAGAGGCGGGATACACCCTGGACAGGTCGCCAATCCATCGCAGGGAAACAGAGAGACACAAAGGAAAAACAACCTTTCACACATGCACTCACACCTAAGGAGAATTTTAGACAAGCCAGTTAACCTAACAGTCATGTTTTTGGACTGTGGGAGGAAGCTGGAGTACCTGGAGAGAACCCACGCATGCTCAGGGAGAACATGCAAACTCCATGCGGAAAGACCCTGGGCCAGAAATCAAACCCAGAACCTTCTTGCAGCAAAGTTGCAGTGCTACTCACTGCGCCACTGAGCAGCCCCTAAACTAAATTCAATTGAAATTAATTAGTCTAACTTGGCAAGGAGATCAGACCATGGCACTGCTTAGATGTTACATTTACATTAAACTTTACATTTCATTTGGAAATGAAGGTCCCAGAGTCTGGGTCCTGTATAAGGAGCCTATTCATCCACTGGGCAACTATGCTTTATTTTTTCCACATTAATGCTTATTTCTGTTGACAGGTTTTATGGAGATGCTGATTTAATTTTCCATTTGCCAAAAGGTTGCTATGATGTCCATGGCCAGTTTGATGGAAGAAATGCAGAGATCCAGTGGGTTCAAAGTTTTCAAGAGAGCAATGCAAGAACACAGAGCCAAACATGGAAATAAGCTGACTACCATTATTAAAACAAGTGTCACTTCTTTAAACCTGCACACTTTGTTCTTCCACTAAATCTTCCTTAATTACGTTTGGATGCAGAACACTGTGTAAAACCACCTACATTTACCTGTTGTGACAAGAGCCAATGACTTCTAGAAGGTTCTCATGTTAGTTGCTTCTCGATTAGTGTAAAGGTCATAACATCTGCACTTTTAAAGTTTAGATTAGTCTCACATAATCACATCTTAGGGAAAAAAAAAAAGTGGGATTTTACTATTGGTAAGCCAGATTTACTAATGTCAAGGTAAATGACCTGTATATATATATATAACTTATTAAACTGAGGGGAACACTGATGGTTGTAAGCTACATTGTACAAACAGCTTCACAGGGGCAGATTGGCAGGAGTTGGACCTGACACGCATGCGACTTTGGCACTCTGACCAGCATCAGTAGGCAATGCAAGTGAGGTGTCTTGCCAAAGTAAACCACGACTGAGAAAGATGGAGCTGGGGTTCAAACCGGTGACCCTCCGGTTTCGGGATGAACTTCAGGATCGTACACCACTGTCACCACACCCAATATATAAACACTTGAAATATATCACTGAGTTTGCACTGAATCTATTAGATATATGAGCTCCTTGTTTTTTGTTTGTGATTACTGGAACATTTGGAAGAAATGAGTCCAATACTAGAGAAGTGGCTCTAACAGATTCCCAAAGAAGTGCAGAAAGTAAGGAACAGCAAAGACCACCTCTAAAACTTAAAATGAATATTATTTCAGTTATAAAGAAATATGCCTTCAAAATCTTATTTTTTAGGTTAAATGTAACTCATGCTGATGCAAAGCCTGTCGCGAGCTTCATGTTTCAAGAATGCGTCATCAGACAATCTCTTTCTGCTAAGAATTAATGACTGTCTCCAAAATGGTGGTTGACATCTTTCTGCACCAGCAGAATAATCAAGATTTGTGCATTGAATATCTGTTCCTATTCAGATTTTCTTTCATAATAATGTTTTCATTGTAAAGCATGTTAAAGTGCCTTGCAAAAATAAATATACATCTTAAACTTTTGCACATGTTTCTATGTTGCAACCAACACAATTTGTTTGAGATGGATGGGTACATGACAGACCACATATAAGGAAAACCTAATTGCAAAATGGAGGTAAACTCATGCATGTTATCCTACCTCTTCTCTAATGCAAGCTCCTGTGTCAACATTAAGGATTGTTTCCACATCAAAGGCTCTTTAATCAGAAGAATCAGAATCACGTTTAGTGGCAAGTAGGTTGCATTTACAATGAATTTGACTGGGTGTTGATGGGGTGAACTGCAAGACTTATTTGTGGGTCAAACTTTTTTCTGTATATCTATTGACTCTAAATGTCTAATATGTCTTCTTTAATCTGATGCACTCAGCTGATTAGATGCTCTTATGATTCAATGCATGAAAATCAAGCTTTCTCTGTTCTAAGTCCAAAACTGTGAAATGACTACTTGTCAGACAGGCTTCATCTCATGCAATTTTAAAGTCTTGTTTTATTCTATGGCCTTTGATCATGTATTATTTGAGTATTTTGATTGTTTCTTTTATTACCTTTGCCGTTATATTTATTTTATGGTTGGACTCTTTATTTATTTGTTTTTTTTTATTTGTCAGCACCTTGGTTGAACTAGTTGGATCTGTTGAAAGTGGACCATATGAACCAAATTACAAGGTTTTCATTATACAATTTATATAGCTCATCTGCATATTTAATGGTATATCTGTTTAGTTATTCAGTTATTGTTCAAATCTTGACATTTATGTGTATACATATTTGTCAAACACAGCATATGTCCACAAGCAATCTGATCAAAAGGCTGCTTTATTGAGCAGCAGAGGTGGGTGAACAAGAGGCATAAATGAGACCCTAAACGATGCTAAAGGATGTTACAGAGAGAACATCTGTAAGATTAATGCCTATACCAATTACTTTAAATATTAAGATTAACAAAAATAAAACTAGAAGAAAAAGCATTTGATCAGAACCATACCTTAAAAGTTTCTGCCATTCCTACTACTTATGAACCAAGTCAAAAAATTTATTACATTTTTTTATCAGGGAAAAATATAAATATACTTTCGTCTTTTAACCATACAACAGAACTTTCACACTGATTGTACAATGAGTTTAGAATTCTTTTATAGGATTCTTTGTATATAAAATTATTTCTATAAAAAATAATATTAAATAATTGACTGGTTTATCTCTGGAAGGTGAGACAGCATCAGATGTGACTGAAGAAGATGAAACGTGTTTAAACAGTTTTGATCCAGTTGAGCTTTTAGAGTTAGCAAAAATATCATCTCCTTCAACCTATATGTTAGATCCATTTCCTACCAAGTTATTTAAGGAAGTATTCCCTCCGATTAATCCATCCATCTTAAGGGGATATGTACCTCAGGCTTTTAAGATTGCTGTAATTAGATCTTTACTTGAGCCCGCTTATACCGTGTTGGCCCCTTTAAAGAGGTTTAAGAACTTATAATACCACTGAAACCCCACTGTAAAATCATTAATTCTTATGGCCTTAGTTAATGGGCTTGTATTAGTACTTGTCCTGTTAGATCTCATTACTACATTTGATAGAGTTGATCACACTATTATTTTAGAAACCCTTGAACGTTCTTTTTGAATTAAGATAATAGCACTAGGATGGTTTAAATTTATTTTTCAGACAGATTTCAGTTTGTTCACGTTAATGATAA